ATAAAAATCTGATCATAATAAAATTATTAATACCCCTGACATAGTTTTGATTACTTAGTTGATTTAACACCCCAGTACAGTACGTACCGTACTGTACGTATAGTACTGTATGCGGCACATCACTAGGTTTCTTACTAAGTTATATGTTGAATTATTATGTATCTGAAGTTACACTGCTACATCAGTGTAAATTATCTGGGAATTGAAAGCACATCGGGCCACATTTGATTATGTGAACGTTCTTCCCATTACTGATGCCCCTGCATTGGCTGGTCCCTAGGGTTTAATAGTGAATAGGATACATAGCTATTCAACTTTATATGATGATGATGCACATACTTATTTACTATTACTGTATTAGGTTTGTATCATTTTCCTAGGGATACGGAAATTATGGAAATTACGTGATTTAGTGTAAATCGCATAGTTTCTGAATCCATGGTAAAGGATACTGTCGAGAAATAGATATTGTGGGAAAGTGGTATGTCGGAATATGAATGGGAACCGCCAAAATTTTCTTAACCATTTAATCGTTTAACCGTATTAACCGCTAACAATTTAGCCGGCATTAAAATGACCTAGCCCATGATAAGCATAATCTGGCCCCAGCACTATAAAAAATCTTTTATGTAGTTAAACGGTTTCAATCCCTAGTCAGGAATCTAATACTGTCGGGAAAGGGTATTGTCGAGAAAGTAATATGTCGGGAAAAAGGTATTTGTCGGGAAAGTGATATTTCGAGAAAAGATGTCGGGAAAATGATAGAAATCCTTCAATTAATATATTGATAAAATTCTTTGGCAAGCTCAAATGTTTATAATACATATTGTTCTGATTTATTTAATTGACAGATTACCCAATGAAATGTAAATATAATTAAAATTTAACCGAAAGAAACTTATTATGTCGCATTAAAATATACCACTATATATGACCACACTTTAGATTTTGTTTAAATATCAAATTTATTAAATCATCAAATACTTAATAAATAACTTTTATACCCATTCGTACATGTGACCTAAATTGTCTATCTTGATTAAAAATCTTTACATCATATAACGTTGTACTTCGGTGGGGTTTCATATAAAATATAATAGTACCGATGTATGTGCCAAAATAATTAAGCACACGTCTGTATTTACGCGTCATGCTTCATTTTATGTCAATTATCAATTGACATGTGTCATTTTTAATTCTTACTATTAAAAAATGACTCGAGGGCGATTCTTAACGCAGATCATGGGACTTAATTATAGATGCTGGTGAAATTAATTACACCGATTTCATCAATTCACCACCAATTTCACCAATAGTGGTGAAATTAATTCACCACATTTCACCAGCATCTATAGACTTAATGTAATAGGTTACCAATAATAATTACTATTTATTGGAGATATTGAAATCGTATGTCAAATTATGAGATAAAGTATCTTGAAATAAAAGGCGTTTTTTAATGAGATTACGTATTAACAGTCATTAATTAATGAAACGAAAAGCATAACCTTTATACTTTTAATATAAATTTATTACAAAATATTTATAGTAAATACAAAACAGTTATTAATTTAAATTTATGTATGTATTATCACTTTAGAACTGATTTCGATGACCAAATCAAGTCACAAGCAATTCTTATTATAAAAAATTACATAATGATTCAAAGAACTAGTTAGAACGAACAATTATATTAAAAGCCTATCAAAGACCTTTTCAAATGAGTTTTTAATGCATTAGAACACATCAAAAAACTAAGAAAATTAGCTAAAAATTAATTCAATAATAATGTACATTAATAAATATTAATATATATAACTCTAACATTGAAAATATTTAATACAGATCGTAAACCGTTATTATATACCCTGTGGTATATTCATTGGGCAGTATTTATAATCTAAATTTAGATACTAATACTATGATCTAAACCTTTCAAGGATGAAAAGAAATTTATGGTGAATTTAGTGCTTTTTGGTACAAGTGGGGGTGGGAGGTTTTGCGGGAGATGTGGTAGTGCATTCTTTTTTATTATGTGGATCATAATTCTTTTTATCATCATCATCCCCAAGTTTGTGATGGTGTGGATCATATTTATCATCATCATCATCCCCAAGTTTGCGATGGTGTGGATCATATTTATCATCATCATCCCCAAGTTTGTGATGGTGTGGATCATATTTATCATCATTTCCGAATTTATAATATTTCTTTTTTTCATCATCATCATAATTCACAAATTTCTTAGTGCAAGTAGAAGCTGGTGTTGTAGTAGTTGTGGTGCAAGGTTTGTGATGATATGGATAAAACTTTTCGTCTTCATTTACTAGTCTCTCAAATTTCTTAGTGCAAGTAGAAGCTGGTGTTGTAGTAGTTGTGGTGCATGGTTTGTGATGATGTGGATAAAACTTTTCGTCTTCATGTTCTAGTTTCTCAAATTTCTTAGTGCAAATAGTTTTAATTGGTGTGGTGGTAGTTGTGGTGGTGCAAGGTTTCTTTTTCTTGTATATTTCATACACGTGATGGTGCTTGTGATGATGCTTGTGATAATACACATCCTCCTCTTCTACTTTGGCAGGTGTAGTAGTAGGATATTTGTGATGATGGCGCCAGTGATGATGCTTGTGATGATGCTTGTAATGATGCACTTCTTCCTCTTCTACTTTGGCAGGTGTAGTAGTAGTATATTTGTGATGATGGCGCCAGTGATGATGCTTGTGATGATGCTTGTGATGATGCTTGTGATGGTGCTTGTGATGATGCACTTCTTCCTCTTCTACTTTGGCAGGTGTAGTAGTAGTAACTTTAGGAGCGGTAGTAGTAGAATATTTGTGGTGGTGCTTGTGATGATGCTTGTGATGGTGCTTGTGATGATGCACTTCTTCCTCTTCTACTTTGGTAGGTGTAGTAGTAGTAACTTTAGGAGCGGGTGTAGTAGTAGAACATTTGTGGTGGTGGTGCTTGTGATGATGCTTGTGATAATACACATCCTCCTCTTCTACTTTGGCAGGTGTAGTAGGATATTTGTGATGATGGCGCCAGTGATGATGCTTGTGATGATGCACTTCTACTTTGGCAGGTGTAGTAGTAGTAACTTTAGGAGCGGGTGTAGTAGTAGAACATTTGTGGTGGTGCTTGTGATGATGCTTGTGATGGTGCCTGTGATGATACACTTCCTCCTCTTCTACTTTGGCAGGTGTAGTAGTAGAACATTTGTGATGGAACTTGTGATGGAACTTGTGATGGAACTTGTGATGATGATGCACCTCCACTTTGACAGGTGTGGTAGTAACTTTAGGAGCAGGTGTAGTAGTAGAACATTCGTGATGGAACTTGGGATGGAACTTGTGATGATAATGCTCTTCTCCGATTATAGGTTTTTTAGTACAAGTCGTCGTAGTCGTCGAAGTCGTCGGTTTAATAGTAGTACATTTGTGATGGAACTCGGGATGATGATGCTCTTCTCCGATTATAGGTTTTTTAGTACAAGTCGTTGTAGTCGTCGAAGTCGTCGGTTTAATAGTAGTACATTTATGAGGAGGTGGATTAATAGTTGGGTGGCAAGTTGGGTGAGGTGGACGATTAGTTGGGTGCCCTACTTGCATATTAGGGTGTGGTGGTTCATATTGTGGGTGTTGTGCTGAGGCTGCAGATAACAATAGCACAAGAACCACTGATAATGATGGAAACCTCATTTTCGAAGGACTCGTTAAATTAACGATAGTACGTTATCTTGAAAGGTTTAGGAATTGAGGACAAAAAAAAAACAGGAGGGGAGAATTGGAAATTATTTATAATAAAATTTAACACTCTGGCATGATTATTAATGTATATAATTTTACAATAGGAAATAAAAGATCGAATTGATAAATGTGTAATTTTATAAGATAGCATTATTTATATTATTGTTTTTTATCACCAAAAGTTATGAACGCGTGAGAACACATTTTTAAAAGGAATAATAATTTTTTATATCGTTCAAGGAAATAATTTGCCACAAAATTATTGTATTTACATTTTTCAACTGCATGTTCGTACAATTACAATATACCCAATAATGTAACATAACAAATACAAAATTACAAGGATATACTAAAGATTTTTTTTCAAGCAATGCGCTGCTACACAAAAGAATTTTAAGAATTCTTCAGAGCTGCAACATTCGGCCATTCAATTTACATTATTTATTAAATATTTGAAAAAAATTTAGAATTATTGTTGATACGTGAGTTCAAAGGACTGTAATGAAAATTTTCTGCGTAAATAATAATATTTTTTATTTAGTTTATGTACTGATGATTAAATTGAATTAAGAATCTATTTTGTACATAAATGAAAATATCTATATTTGAGCTTAATAGATTTATATTTTTTGAATTGATAAATATTCATTTCTGGAGGGACGTAGATAATGAATTAATCAAACATATAATTTATTATTTTATTAATTAATAAATTAAAACTTGCTTATGTGACAGTTTAATCATTAACATGACATTAGCATTAATATAAATGAGTTATTAATAAAAAATTAAGCCCACAATTATATGTATTTTACACACTTAATTTTATTACTGATGTGAACGATATTGGGAGCTATACACTTTAAACTACGAGTTCTTCGCGCACTTAATACTAAATAAACTGTACAATGTAATGAACGATAAATATGACCAATTTTATGAATAGAGTGCGTACGTACATTTTAAGCGAGTAGTTATTGTACTGTACATGTATAAATTAACATATAATTGAATAAGTGTTTAATATATCGTACCGCCATATAAAATTGTATATAATTACATAACATCAGAATTTATAGTGTAAAAACAATTACCAGTTGTGCACAGATAATACATTATATATTTCCTTTTAGAAAATTTATCTAAACTACTATTTCTCAATTAACTAAACATTTATCCGTTTACTAGTGGCATTAATATAATAAATTTCTCCATTACATTTACGGTAGATATTGTTCATGTCATGATTTGATTATAAGTTCGCGTTTATATGCATTAGATGCAATAGAGTCATTTCATATTAAAGTTTGCTGACCATTGCCAGATATTAAAAGGCCGCATACTCTCATACGATAAGTTATGCCAACACACTACAACGAAGAAATTAATTTATAATCATTTAGTTAATTATGTATTCATATGTACTGAACACATCTACACAAAATTTTTTTCTTTTTGTTTACAAATCTGATTAATACATCAATTTTTGTAAAAAATCATGGTTATTTATCAATAATATTAATATTAATATTTAAATTTATAAGACAACATTTCATCATAATTTGAGTTACTGTCATGTACTGTATTTAACTAATTAGCTTCAAAAGTTGAACAGAGATTTTATAAGTAATTTCTGACCAAAGCCAAGCTTCATTTTATGAACACGATTTTTTTAAGCTTTATTTTTCCTTACCAAAGAAAATTCTAGGTGCCAATCTTAAGCTCTCTGTGAACACGACATGAAATCGATCAAAACTCAGGAGAAGCTGTATATGATCTAGATCGTGACATATACAAATTGTAAGATTTCCATTTAAAGGCACAGCGAGTTACACCATTGTAGCCTGCGTATTAATTAATCCCACAACAGGTGTCAGTATAAATACTTTGTAAGTTTTAGCGCATCTCAATTTTGGATAAAAATGGAAACGTATAATTCATGAGTATACACAAAAACACATGCTGACAAATAACAATTTGTTCTGACAATTGAGGTTAGCTTCAAATTTATCAGTACGAATAAAGTTTGTAAAATAATCACTAATTTTTCTATAACTCAAATGAAAAATTTAATTACAGAATCTAGAAAATAAATTCTCATATTTATTTAATATCCGTTTAAAAATCCAATACATATTTAATATTAAATTTTATTTCTTCTTATTCAAGATATTCCTTAACTATAAAAGTAATAGAAATGAAATTAGTATCGATTTTAAAAAGACAATTGATCTCGGATATACGCACTTTCACTAATACACAGGATAATTCTTTAATTAATTTGTGTAAATGTAATCAACATTAACGTGACAAATCATTAATCGTGTTTGTGAATACAATTATCTTCAATTCATTTTTTTTTCGAATCATTTCTTTATGTAAAACTGATCGGTAATATCCATTTCAACGCAAAGATTCAATGTTTGTATGATTTTAAAATCGATAGTTTATATTTATCTTTTCTTTAATGTCAATTCGTTCATGTCAATTTGTCGAATGAAATTAATTAAACCTGGTAATTTAACTTTTATTTTACTCGTACGTAACTAATTAGTTATTAATTTAACCTGGTAATTAATTCATAATTTAAAATAATTTAAAATATTTATTTAAGTAGAATTCAACGCACAGACGTAAACGAATATGTTGTAACCATGCCATTATTCTTACTCTTGTCACAATAACATGAAAAAAAAATTATTCTAATCATCAAACGAGATATATTTTAAAAAACTTAAATTTTGAGCCTTGTTAACCATAAATGTATAAGTTACCGTATTTTTGATGATCTTGTGCGTACTTTACATGCTGTATTCTGTTTTAGTAAAAAAATCGTACTACTGTATAATACTAAATATTTCACACATCGGGCATTTACTAAAGTAATACCAAATTAATTTGTACGTACGTACGTATGGTGCTGCGGGTCCGAAGGTGGTACCCGTAGAATCCTTGTAACTCTTTGATTTCAAAAACTTAAAAGTCATAAAATCTTAGAGATGTGAATGCTGTTTCATGCTGCACGTTAATGCGCATTCATGCGCATGATACCCCATTAAGGCTTTATATAAAAACTATATAAGGCCACGCAAAGTTTAACATAACCCGCCGACCCATTTTTTTAATTTTTCTAAAATTTTTATTTTTATTTTTACATCTTAATTGTGCCAATTATTCGATTTTTGCCATTTATTTTTTCTGCAATTTTTATCCGGTATCACCCGACGGAGACACCCGATATCGAAAATATCCGATGTGACCGACAGAAAAAAACGACAGCCAACCAATTTTCTAATTCCTTGTTATGCAAAAAAAAAGAATAACTTTGCATAACCTTAAAATACGAACATAATTCTATTAATTTAAAGTAGATTTAAAAAAAGAAAAAAAAATCGACCGACCGACCCAATTTTCAGATTCCGTGTAATGTTAAACGAAAATTTACTTTGCATGGCCTAATATATATAAGTAACCAAAATTAAAGTTCTATACAGTACGTTGGGTGTTTGTAGATCTATAGTCCTATATGAATGTTTGAATAGTTTTCGTGCTATCCTAAAATCAAAAGGTTTGTTTTCGGATACCCTAAAATTCCAAAATTGTCCTAAATTATATAATGCTACAGCACTAAAGATGTACGTAATGATGCTAAAACCAGAAAGGTGTAATGCACTTCGAGACACATTTAGCTTCGATTCTGTAAGGTAACTTGTTACATTTGTAATAGTAAAAATGGTAACAGATAATTTAAATGCACTGAATAATAATTAAAGTTTGGTATTTTCCAATTAAATTAACGTAATTAATATGAATAATATGGCGATATAGTGTGATAGTAAATGCTATGCTATATAATGTGACTGTGAAAGATGAATCAATTTGGCCTCTTCTAATAATCGACGCCAATAAGATCTTTGATCAGTGTAATGTAAGATGGAAATGTTGTGTATTCAGATTGTTAATATATTTTCAAATTTATTCTATAACAAATCACGAGGATAATTAATTTTTGCAATACCAAGGCATGTCATGTCAATTATACATAAGTACAATGTTCATGTGACTTGGTCTGATAATTTTAAATGGGTGTCACGTATTAAAACATCCTATTTTGACAGTTTTCAAAAATCTTTATTTGATTTTTTTGAATAGACATACATTCAATAAACAAAATGAACTTTAAGTTGAAAATTATATATATACTAGTGTTTGACCCGTGGCTTTGCCACAGGAGTTTAATAAAAATTTAATATTTAAATTTAAATTTATAATTGTTTCAGTAATAAGAGGTTATCAGACTTGAAAATATTATAAAACATAAAATTTATATAGCAAAAACAGACATGGTAGATTAATATTTTATCAGATTTGATAGGCTATCAATCTTGGCAGGATTGTGTTTGGGAAGAATTTTTTTTCTTAATTTTTTAAATTATTTTCAGTTTTTAATTTAATTTTATTTTATTAATTTATTTATGTTTATATTTGATTTTTCTCAAACTGATCTTGTCAAAATGATAACCTGTCAAAGCTAATAAAATATTAATCTATCAAGTTCATATTCACTATTGTTAAACATCATAGCATAGTGAACAGATTTTATATTATTAATGAAGGCATTAAATGTGAAAACATTATGCATTACCATATTAGATTTATATAATAGAAGCAGACTTGTATTTTATCAGATTTGACAGGTTATCAATTTTGGCAGAAAGACTTTTTTTTATTTAATTTATATTTATTTTTATTTTATTTTTATTTTCCAAACTCTATCAAAATCGATAATCTGTCAAATTTGATAAATATTAATCTGCAAATCTGGTTCTATTGCTATTGTTCAATAGCTCAATACTGATATGCAGAAAAAGATATATTAGTATTAAAAGAATATCAGACTGAAAACATTGTGAACTATTATATTTTTATGATGAAAATGGGTTTGTTAGATT